TATGTTCCCACGTGTTTTGATCTAGCGTGGCTCTTAAAGTGACAGTGCTACATTTTTTTTAACCAAGGCAGCCTTCACTACAAATGTCTAAGTAAGGTTCACCTGGTTACATTAAGGTTCACCTGGTTACATACATGTTAGTAATATATGCTTTGTGTTAATGCATCCTGCACCCTAATCATCCTATCAGTCTCATTTTCCCAAAGAAAGATTTTAAAATTTAAATAAAATAAAGCAGGTAATTCTTTAACATACAGTGGCGCGTGACTACGTCAGCGGAAGTTGTGAGCGCTCAGCAGTCTGTAATTGCAGCTTGTGATCAGAGCTGTTGCGCTCTATCGTCATTATTCTCATTCAGAGTTTGCTTCGTGTGCAATTCACCGAGGGCACGGGCAAAGAATAGGAATCTAGAGGGCTGAGGGAAGCACTTTAAAACGGTACGTGTGAGTTACGATCGTCAAGAGGCTGCAAAAGTGCATCGCTTGCTTCCGTGTTTGGCTTCTCGTCGTGGTGCGTGCGTGCGTGTGTGTGTGTGTGTGTGCGTGCGTGCGTGCGTGCGCGCGCATGTAGATCTTCGGTCCAAAAAGTTTGGGCACCCCTGGAGTAGTCATAGTGTACATAGTGTAATAAGAAATAATATGGTACTCTTTCAGAAGGTGGCAGTGACTAACTCTGACGAGCAGAGGGAAGCTATCATCGCTTGCTGTGCTCACCAGGAATGCATAAGCAAAATTGCACAAATTTTAACTTGAAAGAATAGTGAAAAATCTTGGGATTTTTTTCTGTTAAAGTTTCAAATAGTGTGTAAATTGAATACACTTCATCTTCAGCATGAAGTGCCACTTTTGTAAGTGGCCCCGCCCCCGTCCCGGCCACGCCCCTTCCGCTCTCTTCATCACTAACCACTCTCATCCCTGATAAATACACCATTTATGTTTTTATAATACTGTATTTACATGTGTTTGATCATCTTTAAGGGAAACTATGCTAAAAAAGCGCGAATTTGAGAAGAGGACATTCTTTTTCATGGCACTGCAGTGGATAACAGAAGTAGGTGACAGTGAAATCAATAAATGTTAGAGGGAAGCTGTTGGCCGAAATTGTATGTTGCTGTTGTTTAGAGATTTAGATAATTTAAGTCCCTGAAGTTTACTGTTATGTTGCTGTGTCATGGATGGTTTTACATTCCATGTACAAATAAAAGTTATTTCTGGGCTTCTGTAGTTTCGGATACACTAGTTACTAAAAGAAAAACAAATTCTCATTCTGCTTTGAAATAAAACGTTTTACATCATTTGCGTGAAGACGAGTCATTTCAATGAACTGAGAGCACAAAAAGCCAAGGCTGCACTTTTAGTCCAAATATAACACTGGTCGACACAAAAAGAACACCGTAGTGAAGCATGGCTATGGAATTGTCCTGCTTTGTGGCTATTTTCCATTCGGCTGCACCCGGGTCCTAAGACAAGGTCGAGGGATTGGAGGCGGTATTGGCACAAGACTTTCAGGCTTATGCTAGGAAGTAAAACAAAAGTCAGGAAAAGCCTACAAGAACAAGTGTACTTTAAATGGTGGCGGGTGTGTGCTGACTCCAATTTAACAATAATTTGAATCTGGTTGTTTAATTTTGAAAACATTTAAATGGGGCACACTGGGGTAACCATGTTATTTCAGAGGTCTGTTTTGAAAAACTAAGATTTTTTTTTTCAGTTGCGTCAAACAGGTTATAGGGCACATTAATGGTGGATCTCTCTGGCTCTCTTGTGTGTGTAAACTTTTCATACTCACTGTAAATTACTAAAGTTAACTGGCAGTTTTGGTGGGTTTTCCCCTAAGTGGAAAACAAAGAAACATCATGACAATGTATCAGACAGCTGTATCAGTGTAGAATTGTGTGAGTATATGACGACAACAAACCTTATTTACATTTGATTTATTACATTGTAAAAAGTTCATTACCTTTCATCTATATATTATGTACATATTCAATTTATTTGAATCCTGTTTAAGCAAAACATCAGCTCCAGATTCACAACAAAATGAACAGACAAAAAAAAAATCTCTTCAGCTGTTGGTGGTGTGAGAAATATGCCATGTCTGGGTCATGCGGTATTTTCCAAACTCAATAAATAACATAAAACATCACAAACAGAACCGCTGGGCCGCTCACCATGAAGTAGACCCAGTCCTGTCTAAGTGACATCATTGATATTCAAGTAGTGAATTTTAGTGTCATCACATGAGGCGTAATGACACAATAACAGAAGCAAAACAACATATTTTCAAACCCGGTAAATGTCATGCATCAATTGCTCGGCAAAATGGAATATATATCAAATTCAATTGAATCTTCCTAGAATTTTCTGCAAAATTGAATTAAGAATGTGATTGACTGGCAGAATTTTTATGTTCTTTTTTGAATTGAATACAACTTTATTGTCAAATGTGCTGTACGTATGTTGACATCAAGCTTTTAAGCAAGCCAGTCAAATAAAGTCAGTGTCTCTTGTCATCGACAAAGGCAGCAAAAGCACACCATGAGGGAGTTTCTGAATGAATGAGATCTTTTCTCGCTGATTCAGCATTTGGTTGAATTTTGACAAATGACAGCCAATTTCAGTTTGACATCGAAAAGAGGGCGGGACCAAATTCATTCAGATACATTTCTGTCATTTAGAAGGTTCTCGGCATTGTTTGCAGGCCCGGGCTTAAGCACGTGTGCTGCATTGTAGACAGTGATGAGCTCTACGAAGCACAAGAGAAGCACGACAAAATAAGAATACTGCACTCTATGGAATTCATTTACACATTGGAATGTTGATCCTCTGAAGGGTGCACATGCACACAAACCCTTCAGGAGGTGTTTCAAAACTGTTTTGTATGGGCTTAAAAAATAATGTGTATTCATATATGTATAGAAAAAAAGAAGGGGGGGGCACGGGGAGCAGTGACCAGCCAATCAGTCCAATACAGTACATGAAAAACAATAATATACTGTAAATGTCCCCCCTCAGCCCACTGCAGTCTGAGCTGAACCCTCACTTGAGTGATTACAAGGATGTTAAGAACATGAAGCAACCTGATTTAACTGACATGCAATACCTAAAATGCTTCACTCTCCCCGCCTGCAATCTCAACATTGACAACACATGCACCTAAAGAGGCACGAGCGAAGCTCAAATCTTGATCATGATTATCACGAGGTCTAAATGTGGACTTTGCTCCAACGAGTAACGCGTTCGTAAGCGCATTGTTACATGCTCAGTCACTCGGAATCTGACAAACTCCGTAAACCGAAAGTTGAGCGTTTAGATGGAATAGTTCCACCGGCATATGCAAGCGCACCGTTATTTCGTGGAGCTGTTAGTTATATGTGTGTGTGTGTGTGTGTGTGTGTGTGTGTGTGTGTGTGTGTGTGTGTATATATATATATATATATATATATATATATTTTTTTTTTTAACATGTTCAACAGTTTTTGTATGACAGTATATTTCCTTTGAATTAAACTGTTATTTTACTCCAGGAGTGTCCATAAAGCAACATGTTTGGCTGTCAGAAAACAAACGATTTAAGAGTATAATCGCGAACATGACTAGCAACTCATCGATGAACGGTGAGCGAACTCAAGTCACCATGAAGATTCCCAGAGTGGAAAACGTACTAGTTGACTTTCAGACTGTGGAACGAGTGACAAATGAAGTGTCATCTGCCAACTTGCCGTGATTTGTAGATATATTCCCCAGCAGACCTTAAAGTGACGAATCTGACTTCTGGAAGTTAAGTCACAGATTGACAAGCGAGTGACCAACAGAGCTCCTACTGGACCTCGTCAGAGGGGCTTGTAGGTCTGGGACCAGGAAGCAGTGGTACCGGGGATGTAGCTTCAATCAGGGCGGGGTTGAGGATGATTGGCAGGGACATGGGTGGGACCCCCACCTGCAGCGGCGAGGCAAGCGGTTGGATGATGAAAGGGGACTGGCTCAAGGGTGAGGACACTTGAGCGTAGGGGGGTGGTGCTGGCACTGGCATTGGGGGCAATACTGGGGAAGATGATCGGTCTGCTCCTGAAAGACATTCATGAAAAACATTTTTCTGTTAGCCATTTTTTTTCTTCTTGTAAAGGGGAGCAAGGGGGAAGAGCATAGGTGGGCAAAGGAGCAGAAAGCAGTTGGTGGTTCAAAAATAAATAAATTCGGAACTTAGCCATGTGTTCGGGGATAAGTCAGTCAAAATAAGAAAATACTTGACATTGCCACAAATGCATCAGAACAGTGAATAACATGTGGGACAATATTTACTTCCCTAAGTACTACTAAGCACATGGCAGTGATTTCCTTTTCACAAACTCAAACTTTTGTGCCTACTTTATTTTTCTATTTTGTTCATCAGAGGGGCCGTTATGGCTATTGCTCATCAGAGTATGCGTGTGCAAGCGTGCCGATATGCGCGCGTGTGCTTTAATGGGTCAATCATGGGAGGTTGGACTTCGGTCAAAAACGGTTGGGCAGCCCTGCCTCGGATTATATTGAAACAAAGAAATGATTTTCTGCAAAATCACAGTTAAAGCATGTGGATGCAGTACCATTGGCATTGACTGCTTGGGTGTCTTGGGGCGATGCTGGCCTGCTGGGAGTTCGAGGCTCTGCAGAAGTTACGGGCACAGGCACAGAGGGGGGCGGTTGTTGGAGTGCTGGAACCGAAGAGCCCTGTGGAGAGGGAGGCCGCGCTGATGGGGTTGGTGGTTGCACCTCAGATGGAGGACTGGGCACTGGTTCTGAAGGAACTAAAAGATACAACATCAAGAATATGAGGTAACTTCAATGGCTCTAAAAAAAAACGCAAAAGGGTTGAGAGTTGAAAACTGCGTATTTGACATAAAACTCGAATGAGGACACAGCCCAGAAGTCAAACAAGGAACCAGAATCTCAAATGCAGGGTGAGATGACACATAACCTGGCATCAGATGATATCATTTCCCAGTTCACAGGCCCTTCTTCGCACTTGGCCATCTAATCTTAAATCTTCAACTGCTCTTCGTATTTTTCTTTGTAGTGTCGCTCTACCACATTAAAGACGAAAACTCAAAAAGTTTTGTCTTTGTAGGGTGACTATTAACATAAGCCAACTTTTATAACATAACTCTCCCTACAAATATTGAACAGTATTATGATAAATATGAAGTTTCAACCACTGTGCAGGAAAGTTTTATTTGCATGATCTGTAATTTATATAATGTCATTGAAATACATTCAAATTGATTGATTCTGTGGGATTCTATTCGAAAAGTTGAGTCAAGAAGAGTTGTGCAAAAGTACATCAAATAAACACGGACCTGGTAAAACGGTCTGTTTAAAGAGTTCCTCTCTCAGGTGGGGCAGGAAGCAGTCGATTCGTTCCCACGTTATTTCCCATAAATCCGAGTATTTTGTCTTGGAATCTGGGCTGCGGAAGATTTCTGCTGTGTCCATCACCAGCAGCATGTTCTTCAGAGACTCCGGGATGGCCTCCAACTAGACATGCCAACGCAGAGGTATGTTGAGTGGCACGCTCCGACAGTATACTACTGACATCATTTTTTTCTGCCACAGCTCTCACCAATAAGTCACTGGATCCTGCGTGCATGTACTTATCCATGAAATCCAAAATGCTAAGCCACAGGGCAGCAAAGGTAGGCAGGGACAACAATGGCAGAAGGTGCTGCAGAAAAACCTGGCGTACATGACAGAATTAAAACAAGAAAAAAAAAAGAATGAAAAGGAGTTATCCATTAATATAAACACAAATCGTCCCACAAGCCTAAAAGTTAAATTATAAGACAAGGATCTTATGTCAAACCTAACGGACTGTAGGAGGTACTCAGGTGTGCCGCCAAAAGCAAAAATCTGTGCACCTGACCCCCAACTTGACTTACACCTGCCTATACATCCAACAGGATGGCAACAGAGCACTGCACGAAACCCCTCAGCTCACTTTGACATAGCTCCTTAGTAACAAGATGCCATCATATGGCGGGCAAAACATTACGTGAAAATTTCAATGCCAATAAAATATCATGGTTGTCGGTGTGTGTAGGGTGAACCTTTGATAGGATAGTGCAGGCTCTCATTCTGGTCTCCTCCATTCCACCAACATCAGCTGGGCTGATGTTGTTCAGCAGCTTGGTCAGTAATGGAAATAGCACCTGCAAGGAGAGTACGAGTTTGGCTTTTTTCATGTATGTGTTGTTGTTTGGGTTTTTTTTTCCTCCCTAAAGTGTCTTGCGTAGATTAAGAATCACCTTATTGAAGCAGGACTCCCATTCTGTAGCATCTAGCGTCTGCAGATCGTGGACAAGCAGAGCCCTCTGGAGGTAGTTGAGAGCCTGCATGCGCACTTGACGTCTGGCGTCGCAGCACAGCCAAGCAATGCCTAATAAGGAAAGAAACAGTGCAGAAACAAAGACATCAACCAAGGAGGTGATTCAAATTTATCTCAAATGTGGCATACAGCGTGAAAGCTGTTTAAAAGCAGACTGGGTGGGGGGGGGGGGGATTTATTTCCGTTTTATGTTAATTATATCAGGCATGAAATTGTACTCTTTTAATATGCTGCTACTAATGTAGATAGGGTATGTGTTATTATCATTACAAAATACAAATGTTAGGTGTATGACGTATAAATGACATGGAATTAATAAATTCATATCACCGTTTAGACATGTCTACAGTGTGCATTACTGTTTTCTACATTTTTAAGGTGTTTCACATACAGAACACAAAGCCCTGAATCATATAAATGACTACCAGTGACTGCCAAATCATGATCTGGGCAAATCTCTTTCTTCCCGCCATCGTGCAGGAAATAACAATGTTGCAAACACTTTTTTGGTAAGACCTAAGACACAGGTCATTCTCTTGCTTGTGGCGCTCACACAGGTGCATGGAAAAAAAAAAAAGGAGCACCACTTTCAGAGTAAACGCCATCCATATATTATGTTTTATTTTTACGTCACATGACTGCGAGGGCCGGTTACAGGCTGTGCACGGTCTGTTCCAGTCTATACCATTAACATATGTGAGTTGCACAAAAAAAATTGCAAAATGTCTCAGGCTCTGTTAAAAAAAAAACTGCACTTCAAGAAATACCTGAAGCATACTAACTGTACAACCACATACTCCCTGTATTGCCATGGTCAGGATGGTACCACCTCTGCCTCAATTTGACCTGGGAAGTACATTTGTGACTAAATTCAGAAAAGAAAAAATATTTAATTATTTAAATGTTTTTAGATTTTTGTTTGGTGATTACCCATGAGATTTTGTGTGTGTGTAAAAGGAACATTGGCTAAACAAAGGGTGTTATCAACTGATATACAGTATCTATTCTCCAAAAAAAAAAAAAAGGATATTACTCTAAGTCTTACGTGATGCACATATACTGACGTGTTTATATTGGCTACCATTAGTGATACTGTACATTGTCGTGCCTCATTAATAAATGAGATAGAGTTGCGCGTCCCTGTGAAGCGACAAGACATGTGCAAAGGAAACCGTTTCGGTGGTTTTCAAAAGCAGTTCCACCCCTTTTGTGTATGCATGTGTGCATGCCAACTCACACAGGTGTGAGCAATGTGAGTGATAAGGGGGAACGAATCAGTGCAATGGACTGCTGAGGATATACAGTATGTAAACAAACATGCATAGAAATGGTAAGTTATTGAGTCCAGAAAAAAATGTATTGTATATTTTATTCATCAAACGGCAAGTTGATATAGTAATTATCATGACTGGCCCACTCTATTCACTTGGGGATGTTTTTCTGATTACGGACTGCGATATTGTGCTTAGAATGGAAGGTAAAATGACCTCCCACTGAACATTCGGCAAGCACCCTCGCTGCCCATCTTTAAAACCCGCCTCAAAACTCACTTGTATTCTTTGGCATTTTACTCAGCATGACTGAGATTTGATCTTAGTTTTACTGTTTGGTGCTTTCTAACATCTTTGTTACTGATTTATTGATTTATTGTTGTATATATGTTAGTTCAGTGTTTTTCAACCTTTTTTGAGCCAGGGCACGTTTTTTACATTGGAACAATTTTGCGGCACACCACTAACCAAAAATGTGATAAAATGATGACACTCTGAACAGTGTATTTAATTAAAATATAATTTCTCAGTTTATTTATACTCAATCAGTGTGAAACCCGGGGCTGTTTAGATCAGGGTTTTTCGAACTTTTTTGAACTTTTATTCATTGAAAAAAATCTCGAGGCACACCACTAGCCGAAAATGTGATTGCACCCCCCTCCCCCACGCTTATTTTACCAACTAACGTGTTATATTGTTACTATAACCGTTTTTAACATTGAAGAATGACGTGAGCACAGCTTGAATTGGAATCTAATGAACACAAAGAAAACAGTATTTTATCATCTTTCATATTTATTGTTTTACCGTCGTCCTGCATTCATGCGTCACAAATTCGCGTGTCTCTCGTCGTAACACAAGGCAATTGGCTCGCTGTTGCTGCTCCCTAGCGGTATGGGAGGGTACTACATGATTATTTTCTGGGCGAAAGACCGCACAGGGATAAAAATTGGATATTTTCCCGCGGCACACCTGACAATGTCTCGCGGCAGACGAGTGTGCCACGGCACACCGGTTGAAAAACACTGTGTTAGTTGCTCCATGTACAGCACTTTGTATGCAGCGAGTGCTGTTTGAAAGTGCTCTATAAATACAGTTGAGAGAGTAAAGTTAAAACCTCCTTTATCATTACTTCTGTATCTAGTACAACACATCCTCTACTAAAATGAAAATATAGTGTGAATAGAGTCTGCACAATGTGATATGAGCTGACCTTGCAGCAGTGGGCACCAGCAGCTCGTCCACAGTGTCTGGGAGTCAGCTTCAATCTTTTTACCAGCAGCCTCCAAATTGCGCTGTTCTTCTGCCCAGGAGCTGTAGATGCTGGCAGCCCGGGTGTGCAATGTGTGCATCAAGTCTAAAAGCTGAACAATCAAAGACACACCAACATCAATATGCATTAAAAACAAACCAACCCCCCCCCCCGAAATAATGTTATACTATGTCCAAAACATCAGGACACAATAACAAATGTGCATGCTTTTGTGCAATGCTTATGTTAGATAATGAATGCTATGCAATGCCTGACAAGGCACATGTATATACTTTGTATACATTCGGATTTATATTGTAGGTGCAAGTGCCCATTTCCAAAGTAATGCTAACACTGCATTCTCAACATACTGACTGAGAGGGTCCCCCCATTTTTTAAAATTGTCACAGCCTTTTTCCAATATTAACTTACTTCAAAATTGAGCTCATGTGCATGCTGCTCGTCGTTGACAGGGATGCGAGACGATAAAATTGTGTGACTGAATGTGAATACAGGTTGTTGTTTGTCTGTGTGTGCCCTTGACTGGTGACCGGTTCAAGGTGTTTCCTGCCCACTGCCCGGAGACAGCTTGGATAGGCTCCAGCACACCCGCGAGCCTCGTTAACAGTGATAAACACAAAATACAACTTGAAAAATTCTCATGCTTTTAAATGGAATAGTATTTAAAGCAGAAAACATTAAATTCAAAAGCTACCACATCTATTAAGTAACACCCTCCTATTGAATATTGTATTCTGTGGAATTAATGAGATCAGAACATCCATTTCATGTCAGAATATTGACTACAAGGTTAGAAAATAATCAAGGAACATTTCATTCACACCACCCATCAAATTCATAAGAGATCAAATTAGAAATTCCCTCTCATATGAGCTTCAATCATGGAAAAAAAAAATCTGAAAAAAATCCCAGCTCATGCTATTATGATAAGTGTTTGACATCAATCCATCCATTCTCTAAGCCGCTTATGTCTTAAATGTTTTTGGGCAAGAGGTGGGGTACATTATAGATTGTCACCAGTAAATTGCATGGCATCGGCAGAAAACCATCCACACTCACATTCACACCTCCAGAGAATTTAAAGTGTTCATTTCACCTGCCATTCAATTTTTTGGAACACATTTTCAAAAACACTTGTCAAAACACAACCATTGGGGTTGATTTCACTTATCAAAAGCTGACAGCCAAAAACACATGAGGGGTGTAAAAGCCTTCTTATTGTAGGTGTCATTAGATGACTTTCCATCGGCCTCACAAATGTGAAAATTGCACAATCACAAACTAATGGTGGAAACACAGAAATTTAAAAAAAAAACTCAAATACAGCAAAAAAGTTTTTATGCTCTAAGAAGGTGGTTTTTGAGACGTGTTGATATAGATCGCCAAAGTGTAAATATACTGAAATACATTTTACACTTGTCATTCAAATAACTCGAAACTGACTGAAGTAATAATGAATAAAATGAAAAACTGAACTGAACTGAAAATTAGCTCACGAATATCAGACATTACTTTATTCATGTGGTCAAAGTGAATCATAAAGCAAAATCTCATGAAAGCCTGGAAGGAATGATGGGACGCTGATTTTACACAGATTTGATCGATTGTATTCAGTGATAAATCGGTGATTTGTTTGGGTTTTTTTTTTTTTTTTTGCGATGAGTCATGTTCCCGCTCACCACCTCATTTTCTGTGCACTAAATGTTTGTTTATCAGCATTTTGAGGAGAATTCTTCAGGTGTAATTATTCTTCTTCCCGCCCGCCCCCAATACATTTAAATGTGCATCAAAACACAAATTTTAGCTATTTGTGGGCTGCGCCCAAATCCTTCAAGTAGCAGGTGTTGACTTTACAGTAAATTAACACGTTTAAATAGATAGGATAAATTGGTCCATCTTCGGATTGTATCAGTGATCAGTTATCGTTTATTCTTGTAACCTGATGATCGGCTCAAAAATCCTGATCGTGTTGCGCAACCAATCGCTGCAATCAAAATATTTTTAAGTCTCAATGAGATTTGTACCATTGTGTATGTATTTTGGTAGCTTTCGGTTTTGGTAAACGTGTGATCACTGACATTAGATAGTATGAGAAAGAAGGCTCCTGTACTTACATCCCGACTAACCTGTAATGACACCGTATGGTAACCTGCTGGGACACCCTCATCCTCCTCATCATCACTATGGGAACGTGATGGGCGTTGACTGGAGGCTCGACTTCCACCTCGTCTTGTTCCATTTCCACTTTCTTTCTCCTTTGCTCCAGCTTTCTTCCGCAAACGAGACTTGGCAGAATTATGACTCTTCTTCTTGTCATGGTTGCGGTAACCTGAGGAATGAAACAAGCGGAAACATCTTTGCAGCACAGCTTGGAACATTTTGTCAATTTAAATTTAAAACAGTTCCTTGCTACAACTTCAATGATTCTTTTTGTTCAATTGCTTTGTTGTTTGCCTATTTAAAATAAGCATTGATGAAAAATAATCTGACATAGATTTTCTTTGTGTGGAATCAAATACACAACTGTCATTTTGTTGTATGCAGTAGATACACAGTTAATTGTACCATCTGTCATTTAGGATAGAAGAGCATTTAGTCGCTCTGCCTGTCACCCGTGACTCTTATTACAGTCATAGGTAGAGGAACATTTCTTTTCAGTGTTTTTTTGAAATAATTTTTTTTTTGGTTTTCTCTTGTTAGTTTTTCGCGAGGATCTACCCAACCCCTTTCTCCTGTCCAATAGTTTTATCTTTTGGGTTGTTGAGCTTCAGGGAGTGATCGGATACAGTACATCACCACACTCCCACGCACTGTAATGAACCTCGTATGCTGCAAGACAAAGAGCCCATGCTGCATTTGTCTTGATTTTTACCAGTCTTGGAATTAACTATAAATAGGAAAAAAAAAAGCTATTTAACAGTTGGAGGCCTGATAAATTTTAGTCATTTTGTTTCTACTGTTGAAATTCTTTGGATCATGGCATGATTGATTTCTTCATGGATCTTGTACTTTACTTATCAACAACTTTTTTTTTTAACATGGAATCATCATTTGCATCGTGCATTTCATATTTACTTTGGTTGTCTTTGTGAGATATTTAAGTTGACTAGATGATTAAAAAATGTATTGGTGATAAATATACAAAAAAATAAAAATAAAATCTGAAGGAACAAATTCTTTCAATACCATTCAATATACTTGAAGTTGTTGGGGTCAAATGCAATTTGGGCATGTATTTTACCGGTACTTTGCAATTTTCAAATATTTCAAAAACATATTTAGAACATTATAACATTAACATTATATTAACATTATATTTAATCAGAATCATCTTTATTGGCCAAGTATGTAGAACACATAAGGAATTTGTCTCCGGTAGTACACTGAGTGAAATATCCTTTCCGTTAGGACAATCAAAACTTAAAAGAAGGTGAGCCAAGTCTTTCATTAATATTTTGAGAAGGTTACACATGCCGTTTTATTCAGAATGATCTGCCAATGTGAAAATCTTAGTTATGTGCATTTGAGTAACTAACCTCCATTGAGACTAGCTTCCACGAATACCCGGATGGCTCGAACACACAGCTCAAAGTTGTCCGGTGTGACGTGGGCAGCGTCACGGACAATGAATGACAATGTTTCTACACACTTGATGAGAGACTTTGTGTCATGCTGGCCAAGGTCCTGACCCAGTGTCAGACTGTACTGGTTGACCAAGGGATGATTGAGTTGAGATTTGGAGCTTACTAGTGGGGTCTTATTGGTTTCTAAATCCTCTTTTCCAACCTAAAAAAACAAAAAACAAAAACACAAAGCAGAGGTTAAGTTGAGGGTTTTCAGAATGAGAATATCAAAGCAGAAACTCATCTGAAGTAATGTGTGGGTACTGACCATCAGCCATTCACTGCTTGCTACATCCACATCTGTTGTGGAGCGAGGGATTCGGGCCTTGCTGTGCTCAGTGTAGACTTCTGAGTCAGATGTGTAGCCGCGATCTAAACTCACTTCATTCGGATGATGGGATGGCAACTCACTATCTGACTGGGCACCTGAGCACACAAAGACGACAGATTGATTTTTTTTCTATGTCAAAAGATGAATGAGACAATGGTTTAGCATTCATTTCCAGGTATTTACCTACTGGATCATTCTGGATCTCATACACAACTTAGATGGTAACATTATTTGAACAAACCACATTTTAGGTGAGCAGAAGCATTGGAACGGAATTAGTCTTAAAATATATCCCATACACGGTCACTAAGCCTTAACCATAATTTGCCTTCAATAACAACATCAAGCCTATGATCCTATGTGTAAAAATAATTGCCCCTTCTCAAATAAAATATAAAAACATCTGTCAGTCACCTTCCAGTCCTTGGATACGCTTGCTGTTTCCAAGTACTTTATCAAATCCAAATGCTATTGTATCTGGTAATAAAAGAGAAATGTTGATCTCTCGTCTGTTGATTTAAATGATTTAATATTCATGTTTTAATGTGCAGCCAAATTTTTGTCAGTTTACAGGTTTAAGTGTTTGATTTGGATCAGTTAAGAACTGCAAGACTTACAGTGTATATTGAAAAATCTTATTTATAATGCATTGATTCCAAATTGCAAACATTTATGAACTGTTAATATCCATAAAATGTGTGCCCTACAACTATGAGACAGAAATACTGCACCTGTTTCAATGTCCGTACTGGCAGAGGTAAACTGAAAGGAGGCAGGAGGTTTCACTCCAGCACCAATGCATTCAAGCAGTGAGAAGAGTGTGTACCAATGGTCTGTACTGTGGATGTTAGCCGCATTAGTCTTGAGCAGCTCATGAAGGCCATAAGCCACCTCTCTGCTGACCCGGGACAAAACATGGGGTTTCATCATAAGCAGGAGACGGAGGGAAAGGAGCACCTGCATGTGGGATCACAAATAATGAAAAAGGAGGAAAACCAAAGAGCAGATATTTTGAGATCTTCATAGCACAATGAAATACTGTACTGTACATGCACATGGGTTGACAGTGTTACCTTGAGGAAAACATTTTCACATACCTTAAAACAAATAAACAAATTGTTGGTCATTTAAGTAATTATATTGGAAAGATATTGAGTCAGAGACATTTCCCGTCCCTTCATTGTTGAAAGCGTCCGACCGGAGCTGTGGTCGTAAGGTGGTTCATGCCAGTCGTGGTGGTAATAACCGAACCCATTGGTGGACACCGGCCCGTAAGGAATGCTGTCAAGCTAAAAAGTCCGATTGGGCCTTTATGGCTTGGAGGACTTCAGAGGCAGGTGATTGTTACTGGCAGGCCAAGCAGAATACAGCATCAGTGGTCGCTGAGGCCAAACCTTTGGTAACTCGCAGGAGGGGTTCCGGGAGGCCATGGAAAACAACTTACTGGTCTATCTACTTTCTTAACTTCCCCTATAGTCACGAGCTGTGGGTTATGACCGAAAGAACAAGAGCTTGCACAGAGGCGGCCCAAATCCTTTGTGGGGTGTCTGGTCTCTCCCTCAGAGATAGTGTGATAAGCTCAGTCAACTAGGAGGTGCTGGCTCCTCATTGAGAGGAGCCAGCTAAAGTGGCTCAGGCGTGTAGTAAGCATGCCTCCTGGATGGCTCCCTGATGAGTTGTTCTGTGCACAACTCACTGGGAGGAGGCCCAGGGGACGACCCTGGACATGCTGGAGGGACTATGCCTCCCGGCCTGGAAATGCCTCAGGAATCCCCCCAAAGTACTGGGCCAAGCGGCTGGGGAGAGGGAAATTTGCTGCCCCTTCGACCTGACCCCGGATAACCGGAAGAAAATCGGAGGGATGGATATTCTAAGGTTTTGGGAAATGGGAAATATGTAGTTGATCGAAAAATTTAGAAATACAGGCAGGTGACACGACAAATAGCAGTGCACACTAAAGAAGAAATTACATAGCCATTTATCTCTCCTGATGTTTGGACAAAGAGCATTATACGCATTGCAGCTTGAATTTAACGAAAAAGAGAAATACATCAGGGTTAATCAAATGAGACAAATTTTTAATGTGATGTTTGACTTCAGCAAACTCAAGATGAGAATTTGGAATTAGTATTGTGTTTAATTCACTGTTGTCCACGGTTGATAAAAATGCTTGCCAAATTACTCAAATTATTTACCTGTATTTGTGAACATGAAATTCATTGTTCAAGTGTTTTCCGAACAGATCAGAGGAGCTCATTCAATTAGCCAAGAAAAAAATGGCCACAACCACGATGTCTGATTACTCATGAATAATACAGAGAGAGAGTTTCAGGCAGGAGTGTCAAACTCATTTTTGTCACGGGCCACATTATAGTTACGGTTTCCCGCAGAGGGCCATTATCTATGACTGTGAAACCAAACACCTTTTGAATCCCCTCATATTATTACAAATACACAACACCTGATGGATAACTACTTTTGAAATCAGATGGCAAGGACAATAGTTTGTAATATCTCGATGTGTTATTATTTCTACATACGACATTTAGAAATTCTGGTCGAGATTTTAGCAAGAATCATCAACGTTGACAAAGATTTGCTTCCGCGGGCCACATAAAATGAAGTGGCGGACCGGACCTGGCCTCCGCGACTTAAGTTAGACACCTGTGGCTTAGAAGGTGAACAATAATAGAAAGGAACAATCATTCGTGGAAGTAAAGGGAGCTCTGAAATTCTGGCAAGACACTGTAGCTGTTAAACTGATATATAAACATATGGAAGAGAGTGACTGCCCTACCTGGGAACTAATATCTTCTCGTCGTAGCAAGCGAATGGCAAGACGAAGGAGTCCCACTACACCCCTCTCCACCAAGAAGCAGCTCTCGTTAGCGTGGACGCAGATGTGACAGAGGTGTTCACGCACTGTCTGCCATACACACGACACACGGTCTCTAAAAGCAGATACACATTTTTAGTGTACCAAAATGTCAAAACAAGAAGCACATGCCGTATCACTTTGTTGCAACTATTACCGATTTTCCATTACAATACGCAGTAACATCTCTAAGCAGAAGGCGGCATCCTCTTCATCATAAGTCTCATCATCGGGGGTGACCGATATCAAAGCCTGTAGAAGATAATGTAATTATTCTTCATCATGTAGACTTCTCAGCAATAACAACACGAAAAAAAAGATAACTCATGGGCAGCAGGACATAAAAAAAAAACAAAAAAACAATGCAATTAATATTTACACTACTAAACAACAACACGAAAAAAAATATAACTCATGGGCAGCAGGACAAAAAAAAAACCAAAAAAACAATGCAATTAATATTTACACTACTAAATTCAATCCAACAGTTACCTTCATAAGTTCCTGTAAAGACTCAAGCTGGAGGAACTTGCTCTCTGTAATCATCTTCTCTGGGTCACATTGCTGAAGATAAACAGAGAAATTCAAGTATACAGTGGACTGCCGCATACAGTGTTTGCGTTATTTGTATTTGCGAATCACCTATTCATTGTTTTTTTTCTTTTTTTCAGGGACCTATTCATTATTCACGGAAAAATTCAGCCATTATTTTCTGTAACGTGACGAAAACGTGGGGAAAAAAAAGTCCTTTGCGTCAAAATAATGTCTTCATTATGAATGTATGTAAGTGCGTACTTTGGGGGAAAGGGTTGTAGGATTACACTGGTTAAAATCTCCTGTTGCAACAAACATAGCATATTGGTGTGCATTGTGCAGTTGGGCACCTATTCATTATTTGCGGAAAAACTCATAGCCATTATTTTCTGGAATGTGACGAAAACGTGGAAAAAAAGTACTTTGCGGGCGGATAGTCCTCCGAAATGCTATTGCTAGTCATGGTAAGGTGACATGTTTGTCAAAGGATGAAGGAGCTGAAAGTAACATCTCCAGTCCATAATGTCTGTTTCAGACAGGTCATGGTAAGAGCACTCTCTCCTTTTTTGCTCTCGATCGCTCCCACTCATCCCCTCACCATTAACTCCTCCCTCTTTCTTCCCTTCTCTCCCTCACTGTAGTACCCCCCTCCCTATTTTTTAAAAATAATAAATACATTAAAAAAAAAAGAAAAAAGAAGGAAATGTGTACATAATAATTTGTCTATCACCCAGGTAAAAAAAAAAATAAAGGTTATCCCACCAGCCCATTAAATCGGCACCTCTTTGAGTCTGGAGTTTAACCTCCTACAGCCGAAAAGTATATTAATTTCAAAGACCAGCCAATGCTTAGGAAGTTTTGCGGAGAAAGAGAAAATCTGATTCACTTGGCCTCAAATTTCTGTACCGGTAATGTAATTAAAAGTAGTTTCAATATCCCAAAATGATGCATAACTTTAGCGTTTCAAATACATGAATACAGGACCTTGAAAAATATGTGCATATTAAATCGCAATATTGCGGAGAAGAAAAAAATTTCTATTACACGATGCAATCAGATGACAGGTTGCCTTGAGTACTGAATAAAGGTTGCATTGTGGAATATGCCTGGCTGTCTGCACTATATGACAGAGTGCAAGCACTAAATTTAACATAATAGTGGCAACAGGACAAACAAAGACGTCACAAACAATTTTTGCCATGCAAGTTGTAATTAAAAACTAAAAGTGTGCTGCATATAAGCTGTTCAGCACAGTTAGATTTTAAGACATTTTGTAAGCATTTGAAATGCTAATAAAATGTTTCGGGATCAAAGTGTATACAATTTTCATGGATTGAACAATTAATATTGGAAACAAGACAAGCACCAATTATTTGTGGAAATTTGTTAATCACAGTCTGACAAATAGCGGGGGTCCACTGAATGATAATATAAAAACACATCCTAATACATGATGCCCTTTAGGTGGTTATATTTTGGATGAATGTATTGATATAAGTCACATATTGTAAATTGTATTCAGCACCTTTATGCAGAGGATGGCAGCCTGTTTTGCTTCCTGATTTTCCATAGATGGTCCTCTTAATCCAGACTGCTCAGCGCCACTCAGAGTCAGCCAGTTGACAAAACTCAACACTGCTGACTCCCCACTGAAATGATATTGTAAAAGACTAAAGTTGCTTATTTGCTTTTAATAGTACATTTTTTTATCGTTCCGCCATTTAAAGCTTTCAATGCAGTTAGAGAAACCATTTTGTACAAATCAGTGGGGAAAAAAAAGAAAAAAAAAGAAAAACATCACACAAAACATTATCCACAGTTCCAAAAATCATACATACCGATTAGAAGGAGTTTCCTCTCTTTGAAGTGAGATTTTTCCATTTGGTTCAATAAAATCCTCCACCTGATTTAAAAAAAATAAATAAATAATACTAATAATAATAAATAAAATAAAATAAATATCGAAGGACTGCCTGTAGGTGGCAGCAAAAACCTCCCAATAAAATAAAATAGAACAGCAGTTCACCACCACCACACAGAATGAGTGAACATTTGATTCAAAATGCAGTTTAAGTCAGCTGAAATTCAACAGGTTCAATAAAAAAGATTATATTAACGTTTGAGACAACAAACTTGATGACAATCATTACACGTTGAAACATTAAATTAGAACTAATAGACTATTGACAACCATACACAGACGACTGAAAATTGATAAAAAAAATAAATCATTTAAAAACGATACAAATTTGAATCAAGGCCTTAATACGTATTCTTCAAGCACTTGAAACTGACCTCAACCATGGCTTTGGGTAGGAGCTCGGCCCTGAACAGCTGTAGCATGGAGTCCATGATGTTCTTCCAACCCTCTCGAAGGATGTTGCCATGCTGATGGGCAAGATCAAACACTGTCTTGGCGGCTGTTTGTGCCTTTGCGTTGCTCCCAAACACAGTCGGGAGGTTTTCCACTGACTAGAAAGGAGAACCACCAGTCAGCTGTCAATGCTAACCTTCTTCCATCTTAATTTTGTGAAAAAGAGTGTATTTTCTTGATGGCATTGAAGGAGCCACCAAAGTAAACAAGTTTGCTTATTTCACCACTTTTAACTACAGTAGTTTCATATCAAGCTGTGTTATGAATAGTATTAAATCACACAGACAATGCGTCTTTGTGACGACCAGGGATATCTTGTTTGGTGTCTTGTACTGTTTTAACACGCCATGACTCTAGAGCAGGGGCCCCCAACCTTTTTTGCCCCACGGACTGGTTTATGTCAGACAATATTTTCAGGGACTGGCATTTAAGGTGTGGCGGAAATAATACAACGAAATAATATGGCATGAGCTGCATGAAAACTGTGGCGTTTTCGAAATATAATAATAAACACAAGGAGCGTCTAATCTGGCCGCAACACTCCGATCGCTCTGGCAATGTTTAATGCCTTCAAAATACGATACAACGCAAATTCAAAGTGCATGAAAATGACGACTCACCACAGCACCGAGCTTGATTTTCTGCAACCAGACGGTCCCATCTCGGGGTAAGGGGAGACAATGACACCTCAAGTGTGTGGTTTATGTCCAATCTACTTCGTAATTTTGTTTTCGTCGCCGTTGCTGCAGAAACTCCCCACCTCACACAGGTAGGATATCGGAAATAGCAACAGTGCTATTGTGGCGATCTCAGAGTATTCAGCCATAACTTTAATCCAGTTGTCTCGAACGTACTTTTAAGGCCGCCGTCATTTGCGATCTCCAGCAGTTTTTTTACTCATTTTGCGAGCTCCTGCGTTTTGTTTTGAAGTAATCGGTCACGTGATAGAGAAGCGTGGCTTGACGTGTGTCAAGCGTGACACAGACGGATGTAACGGAGAATCCGGTAGTTTTTCAAAATAAAACATCTTTCGTATTCCGAAATAAATTAAACGGAATTAAGGCAAGTTCTTTCTGTGCGGCCCGGTACCAAATGCCCGGCGGACCGGTACCGGTCCGCGGACCGGCGGTTGGGGACCCCTGCTCTAGAGCACAGCTATTCAAAAATACGGTGTATGGGTTGTACATCAGACCACAAATTCACCAAAATGTGTGACCGCATCAGACAGCTTGTTTTTGTATTTCATGAGTAAAATTATGGTTACAGTACCAAATAAAATATCTTGCCATGTCATTATGAACAAGATTTTGCCAATTCATAACAGATCACAGTGACAAATGCAAAGTTTTCTCACCTCACTGCTCAGAGTGGTAAACTTGCAAAGCGAGATGATCAGATTGTCAAAAACATCGTTAAATCCATAGTGAGCTGCTATCTTGGCACATTTCCTGCAGAGGCAAACACATTTGTATACAATTTCAGCATGACCGCAAGTGTTAGCAATACTAGCATGATGAACTATACTATTATCTTCAGAACCATAATTTATTAAAAAAAACATTTTTTCAAACAAGCACCTATTTTAAGTGTGTTTCGTCACATATATTGTAGAGGTGCTTGTAAGAAGAATACATATTCTACAACGCAAAAGACTCATTGAATATGTTCTGGAAAGCTTTGTAAGCGGCCATTCATATTAAATGGTGGGAACCAATCATTCAAAAACAAAATAAACAAAGAAAAATTAACATTTGAAAGCCTTAAACCTCAGCTGAAAGACTTGCTGTACATGCAGGACATGGACTGGCTAGTTCTGACATTGAACCTAATCAAAAGCTAAAAGAATAGTGCTTTAAAGTAAGTGCTACAGGATAACAGTCTCAGATCTAGAGACAAAGATATGGCTGCCTCTTATATGCCACTTTTTCGTTTATAGTGTGTACAGCATATATATTTTCCAATAAATCTATTGGTGAATCAGTATATTTGTATGTTTTTTGATAGATTTTCGGTTGTATCCTATTTATCTGTATCTGGAAGTATTTAAAAAAAAGCTAGCTGATTGAGTGGATGATAAGTTTCATATATATATATATATATATATATATATATATATATATATATATATATATATATATATATATATACACACACACACACACATACAGTCACACCTCGGTTTTCGAACGTCTCGGTTCACGACCAATTCGGTTTTCGACCAATAATTTCGAGTTTTCTATGCCTCGGATGACGAACAAATTTCGGTTCTCGAACAAACTGAGCGCACTTGAATGCACCACTTGACTCCTCTCGCCTTCCTTACACGAGGAAGTGACGCTTCCTCGGGTAGACGAGGATTTGACGCTTCCTCGTGTTGCTTTCCATTGTGAGCAGACGTGTTGAGTTAACATTTTTATTTTAAAAAGAGCGTGGTTTTGGTTTTCGAACAATTTCGGTTTTCGAACAGCCTTCTGGAATGGATTATGGACGAAAACCGAGGTTTGACTGTATATATATATATTTTCCATATTGCTAAGCATCTTCCCAGTTCAAACAAATTGTCCACATATGTACAGTACCGAAAGCCGGTAATGGCCTTTTGAATGATGTTGTCATCCAGACTCTTGTCAAAGACATAGGAGAGGGCGGCAATAGTAGGACCCCAGGTCATGGTGAATAAGTCATGGTCATAGCTGCCAGGTGGCAGGTGAAGAAACATCCCCTCTGTTGTAGCACCGCGATGTAGTAGCACACTCCAGACATAGTTCTCCTTCACTAAACCAGACTGCTCATCTGGCATCACAATCTCGTCATTCCTGCAAAAGGAAGATTAATGCTGGATTTTAAGATGTGAACAAAGATGTTTCGGAGTTAAACCACAAGCAGATACTGAAGCAAAAAAAGTGCTTGGAGCAATTATGTCTGCAGAACTGTTACACGCTAAATGCATATTGTAATGTTGGTCAAGTCAGGTGCAGGTCCTGGTTTGTCAGTCTTGTTGACGTATCTTCAAGCAATATATAGACTCTGCAGTTGCTCATTGTGCTGCAACACTAGTTGGTGAATAAAATGTGCCTTCTGTGGCAGCATATACCATTTTGTGATGTAATCTTTGAATCTTCAAAGTCAGGAACGTGCTTGCTTTCTATTTACATATACCACAAGGCCACGCTCCTGTATTTAAATATTATACAAGACCACACTTCTATCAAAAAATGGGCTTGCTTTAGAACATTCTGAAACACCATAAACCACAGAGGTGTGTTGGATATTTTTTTTTCAAAATTGGAAATATTTTTAAAGACCTGTATAGTACTCAAGCTTACTTGATTGCATTGTAGATATCCTCTAGCATGTCCTGGTTAAAGTCTTTGTTTCCATTAACTCCCTTCAGATTCTTCTTGAATTGCTGTTGAAAACAAAAACAAGTAGGACACCTTATTTGATGAATCTTCCTCTACAACTAATTCTTCTAGAGCAAAAATGTTAAGCAATTCAATGATATCCTGTACCAAGGCTTGAAATAAGCAGGTTCACATCATAGCTTGCAAATCAAAATAAATTTGACATTTAACGCCACCTATAAACACGCAGCCGTCTATGTGGCAAGCACCGTGCGCTAACCGTAAACAACATGGACCTTGCTCTTCCCAAGGTTCATGGTGTCACTAATGGTCAATTTACCTTATCTTGGGTCCTACGCGGCTTCTCTGCATCGACAATGTCAATGTATCAACATTACCTCTGCGCAGGCCTTTGTCTTTGTTGGTTGTGGGTACCGGCAATTTTCTGGCTTGTTACCAACTGTGACTAACAACAGTTTGGGGAAAGCTATTGCAACCATTGCCATAACCACCATAAAAAACATAAGTCTCGAACCCTGTGGAAGCTTTTGCTGGTTGGTAGCGCTGCAATTAGCCACTTGTTATTCAGAGAAATGTCTGATTTATGCAGTTTCGCTGCCCTTATTTTTAGCTGTGTGTATTTTCAATGCACTGCATGTTTGCACTGTGGTTGTGAGGAAAGAAGTTTCATCTGTGCTGAATGTTGTACAGAGAGCATATTTGACAATAAAGCTGACTTGACTTATTTTTTCTTTACTATTCATAGTAGGTCATTAGTCATGCAAAAATACACTTTATCCGAATATTCATTTCAATCGAATTTTCAGCAGCACACTTATAGTAAAATATCCTCAAATATTTCATTGGCTGCAACGCTACTTTCAAATCGTCTGTTACATTGCTGGATTTTTATTGTTTATTAAAATCTTTGTTTCAGGGATTAACGGTAAAAAAAAATGCCCCTCAAAATTTGAAAAGAAATGGTACTCAAATTAAGTCCCCGATTACCAAATTGGCTCCTTAAAGAAAAAAAAAAGTTATTTCAAGACTTGGTCCCTGTCAATGAATTTCAGTTAATAAAACAAAGTATGATGCCTTTAGTTTAACTGAGCATCCACTGAACAATTAATGGGGTTCCGGGTGGGTACACACATTATGTGTCACTTAATATGTTTAAGATTCCAAAATAAGGATTATGGCAAAGATCCCTCTGCAAATAAACACAATGACTTAGTGATAATTGACAGCCTCAAGTTGGATGTTGGAAGGATTTGGTGAAGGATGAATAACGCATGAATTCAGTAACTACTGAACATAATTATCTTAGGAAAGACATTTTTTGATACCGGTCTTGGGCTTGCTGGCAAAGAGTGGCAGAACAAGTTGCGTTGTCCAATGCTTTCCTGTCATATAGTAACACAGTGTTCTCACACCACCAAGTGGACAAAAACAGAATCGTTGAAAGAGGGGCAGCATGTTTCACGCAAATTTAACATTACAGAACTCACCTGACCTATGTCTCTCTGAAAAGACACCATCCCACTGTCGAACTTCATAAAAGGCTCTGATTTACACACTGATGCTCTGCATAGTTTTCCCACGACCAAAATAACTACAGTGCCAACATATGCTCTGTTGAATACTTCTCATTGCAAGCTGCTAACTAACTTTAGTGTTCGGCGCCACTTTTATTGGGCCTCTTTAAACTATTGTTCAGCAACCCCTTTCCTATTCTCTGAGCCAACAGGTCAAATGTCTTCTTCCCCAAACTACAAGTGCCCTCTTGGAAATGCGATTATCGAAAGGAATTGGAGCCTCATGGACGATCAACAGCCATGAAAAAACGAAGCAGGGACAGCTAGAAAATAAGAACTTGCCATTTATTAATAAAGACGTGTGGCCCATTAACAAAACCTCAGAGCCCGTTTCATCTTCACAATCTGCCATCGAAGCCGCCAAAAACATAGGTAGGGACAACAGATGAAAACAGTGTGCCTCCCCCGGACCCTCGGCTGCCTATTTACGAGTTCACCGCTCAGACAGACCACCACTGGCTACAGCTGTTGACTGAGGGCTTTCTGAGCCGCCAAACTGCACCAGTGCAAATGCTACAACTCCCAGAGGAATGTCATACCATCGGACACTGGCATGCACCGCGGAGACAACAGAGAAAAACAACTGATATATGAAGACTAGGAAGCTTCAAGTTAATTAGTATGGAATGTGCACTTTTAATTTTAAAGCCTAAAATGATCTAATATAATCTTTACTCGGGTTGTACTGGCAATCAAAAAGTATTTTTTTTAATTGAAGAAATACATGGAAATATATTTAAGAGTCAACACATAATGCATCAAGGTACAAATGAGAATACCAGTGTTGCAAATTAGTAGATTGTATAGAATTACTATGATTAGTAATTTTGTTTGTGTGAAATCTCAAAGTTGGGCAGAATAACAACAACAATTGTTCACTTGAGAGTGACTGAGTGAGTGAGAGTCGTTGAGAGAGTGAGAGATCACTAACCTCTACAGTCATAGGGATATTCTGCTTTCGGACATTGTGATTATGCTGGTCAGTGTTCAACATTATAACAGCATAGGCCAAGGCAAATCCTGCATCATTCGTCAGGAAGGGAGAGCCATTTACTTTCTGCAAAGACAAAAAAGTAGTAAAAGGAGTAGAGATTATGTCGTGATGAGAGCCAAATGATAAATGTAAACAGGTAATTAATTGTGATTGATGTCATACAAAAGTTGAATCAGATCATCAATTTTAAATAGACCCACTCGAGTGGAAAACCAATTCACCAAGTCATTACCTTTAATGACTCAGTGAGGCTTTGAAGATGACTATTTTTGTTTTACGTGTTCAATCCAAGAAAAGGTCACTACTAGGAATAGTTTCCAGGTCACATGGTTTCTCATGCTATTTTGGGAAGACAAATGTTCAAGCAATAGAGTCGGCCTTTTTCCCTCGTGCAAGTGCCTGTGTGTTTGACAGGGACACACCGTCTTTAAAACTGATGTCATCCAACGACTATAAAATGGAGGGTTAATCATGTGACAGGTTTTGACTTATGTTGTCACCATCCTCACCAACTTTACACCAGCTGAAATGAGCTGGTCATGGAAAAGGTTATATTTCACAAAGTTGGCATTGTTGGCAGATGTGTGTCAAGACAATTTAGATCGAATTTAGGTTGTGCTATGTACAGTATACATGAAGGTGCCAATATCAGCAATGACCTAACTAAAGTGTTAGGGCCCTGTTCTGCATGTTTTAGATGTTTCCCGTCTCCAACACAATTGATTACAATGATCAGCTCATCAGCAAGCTCTGCAGAAGCCTGATAATGATCCTGTTCATTTCAATCAGGTGTGTTGGAAGAGGGAAACATCTAAAACATGCAGTATAAGGGCCTTCGAGGACCAGAGTAGGTGAGCCCTGCGCAAAAGCTTTGCGCATGAAAAGTGCAAATGTTAGGCATTTAAGAGCGCCTGCAAAACACACCTTTTTTTTAATTTTCGATGTACAATAAGTATAAATGAACATTAGCATGTAAATATGACATATTGTAGTTAAAGGCTAGTATCCATTTATAAACATTTGACAGTCCTTTGTGGGAGGAGTATATGGAAATCCATTTTCCACATGCAATGTTATTCATTCTCTTCCACACACTTAGCCTTATCATGGTAGGACGGTTTGTGTCCCCCCAATGAAAATAACGGCAATGTTGTCGGAGGCTTTCTGTCCCTGCTATGTCACTCAGAACAAACAGGTCCTAGTTTAAGGACCGATTGAAGAAGGGCCTGAATGAACTCCGATTGCAAATAAAACATTTGGACCTCGGTCGTCGGTGCCCCGAACCTGTTGGTGGTCACTGGCGGTGAGGGAGTCCACCAAACTGAAACCAGAGTTCAGGTATTTTTGGCCAGGAGAAGTTTGGAAACAGCCAATGGGTAGCAGCAGGCCATGCGGACTGCAGCTTTAGTTGTCGCTTAGGACAGACATTTAGGCGTGGAGGAAGGTCAGAGAGGCCATGGAGAGTGATTTGCGAATGACGAGAGGGGAGCAGTGACACAATGTGTATAGCTGGGATGAGGCGCTGCAGACCAAGACTTGGGACTTTGGGAATCAGTGGGAATAATAATTCAAAAACATCCTCAATTCCACAGACACGTCTTTCATTGAAAAAGCCGGATCTGGAGACTCTTTAGTTGGTTTGCCAATTTCTGGCAGTGAGGTCGCTGAGGTGGTTCAAAGGTCCTCAATGGCAGACCCCTGGGGATGGATGACATTCACCCGCGGGAAATTGTCAGATTACCTTGGTTGACACCTATTGGCAACATCGCATGGACATCGGCGACAGTGACGCTGGATTGGCAGATTACGGTGTTTAACTCCTTTTTTAAGAAAGCGGACTGGGGGTGTGTTCCGACTACAGAGGGATGGTATTTCTCAGACCCTGTAGTAAAGTCAATTTGTTGGTAAACTGAACCTCAGATTCAGAAAGAGCAATGTGTTTTTCTCCTGAAAGTGCTTTGTTGACTTTAATGTTGGAGGTCTCGTTCACAAGTTAAGGAGAATTGAGAACTGACCACAAGCATGGTGCAAGCATCTGTTGTTATGTGGATGCCGATTTCCTGGGCAATCTATGGACCCAAGGTGTGGGTCGTGACTGAAAGAACAAGATCACCGATACAAGTGGCTGAAATGAGTTTCCTTTGTAGTGTGTACAGGCTCTCCCTTAAAGCAGAGATGAAAGTGGACTTTTCTGAAAATTCCGGAAAAAAAAAAAAATTATATATATATATCGCACTTGGCCGATCACGCATGAATTAGTTTACGCAAAACGCTATTCAAATACTCGACATTCAATGATTAATCTTCCTTTTGTGTGCACACGTGTACCCTTTGTAGCTTCCGTTCGGGCCGAAATTTCGAAATCTCCGAGATATGGCGAGGCCATGAGAATGCGAGGCGAGGGTATTACTGTTGTGGCGACGCCACTCAAACTAAGCGAGGATGTACGCAAGCGCGTCTTTTGATTTCAACCAATCAGCGTCGACGCAAATGACGTCACACACGACAACAGCTAAGCTAAGTTAGTCGAGACGACACTCGAAGTCGGACGGACACGATTTTCTGCCAATCTGTGTTTTTCCCTTTTTGGCCAAATATATTTTTTACGACAACTGTCTTGTTGACGGCGTCTTTTATTCGTTCCACTGGGGTTTAGCAGGTGTGTTTATAAAGGGACGAAAATTGTTTGGGGACTATCCTCCACGTTCTAGTTGAGATGGTATAACCCAAGAGGCAAAATGACGCTTGCTACTGTTGTTGCGAGTTGCCATTCGTTCTACTAAACCATTAGTCAAACGCCATCATGTCTTCTGTCGTTATTACACAAACAAAAATCTCTTTACTGTTATTAGTGTTAGTGCCTCAATATGGCTACGCTCGTGAAAGCAATACAACGAACTCAAACGCGTCTTCGTTCAATGTTGTCAACTAATATCCGGATTAATTTTATGCAAATTTTCCTCAATTCTCCGGAGAAATTTCCATAAAAATTTGAAAAACCCGGAATTCCGGGAAAATCCGGAGGACTTTCATCTCTGCTTAAAGATAGGATGAGGAACTCTGTCATCCGGGAGAGGTTCAGAGCAGAGCTGCTGTTATGCCGCATCGAAATGAGTCAATTCATCATCGAGCAGGTTTACTTGGCAAATGAATAGATTTTTGTTGTAATAGATTACTTTCTGCTGTGTTCTTTATCATAGTAGTTTATGTACAATACAGATTTCTGTTTGGTTCTTGAATTGTTAATAGTTCATCTTTGATTTAATACTTGGTATAACGGATATATATTTTCATCCAATCAAAATCATGGGTGTCCCACCGCCTCTTGAGATTAAATCACTATTTTTCAACTAGCTATCAATCCAACAATTGTGCAGTGGGTCTGTCTGTCATGAGAGGTTAGGCAAGAGAAGACCGAACCACTCTCCAACTTGGCTGAACAGGTGCTGGGATGTTCGATGGAAAAGAAAAGGTAGTGATTATTTGATGTTTGAAAACGCTCAGGATGAAGTAAGCATATGCTTGTTGGTGAATAATACCTCAGTTTTTATACAGGAATATATTTAAAATGTTTTATGCAATTATTTTATGCAAATTAATGCAGTTACTAAACATGAGTAGCTCCCTGGCATATTCACTGTGCAAAGTAGCTCAGAGAAGATAAATTAGATAAAGATTGCTTTTGTAACACATGCAATATGATACACTATACATCTCATTCTAAATATACACGTGTATGTAAATATAATGATTTAAAAAAAGGGACAGACTATGTCTTACATGCCAGTTGTCTGTAAATGTTTCCAGAAGTCTTTGGATGACTGGAGCCTCTCCGGGTAACCTGAAAGCCTCGAGGTAAAGCCTCAAGGCCTCATCTATTCGAAGCCCCTGGAAGGCGAACGTGCTGCAACACAGTTCATATTTACTGTATAAAGAAGTGAACATTCAAGGCTCTCACAAATGTTTAAAAGTTAATCACCACCAAAACTCAACAATCTTAAAGTTGGCAATCAACAACTAAATTGAAAATTGTTCAACGTTTTGTGAACATCTTACTTGACAAAGCTGTCGAGGAGCTCCATATTATTGCGATCACTGACGAATTCCCCGATCATCTTTTTGTCCAATCGGGGATTTTCTCGAAGCCACTGGGCCACTTGGTTGTTATCCATTGGATTACTGAGAAGCCCTTTCTCCTGAAGGAACTGGATTCCCTTCTTTGGTTTCAGATTAAATTGCTCTGTTCCTGCTATCAGCAGCTATGAACAAGGGAAAATGAACGATATAATTACATATGCACTCTGCTGTGTCCAAAACACCAGAGGTGGGCATCGTCACTGGCATCGTCACTAACCGGGTCAGTACCGGCGGATCTACTTTATCAGTACATCACCGATGGACTCTCGTTTTGCCGTTGAGTGACTGAAAAATGCGCACTGTCTTGCGCGTGCTTGACTCGCAGGATTGAATACACCAGGCAAGCCAAGCAGAGCAGAGGATGGTCTCCTCGTCCTCCAACAGAAAAAAAAGTTTCAACACTATTCAATCTGGTGACCTAACAGTGTTGGCTGCGAACTAAATCTCTGTTCTGATTCTCCAAGCTTGCTCTTATTTGAGGTCTTCCCTGGTGCTATGGTTAAACTGGTTTCCAGGTTAATGAGCTCCCGATTCCAGTCTTTGCTGTTTGGGTAAGGTCAGTCTCGTAATTTTTTTTGTTTCTGTCTGCAGATTCGTCCCAAGCTACATCAAAATTGTTCAACTGCATAACTGTTCAGTGCTTCAATAAACATGTGAAACAAAGCAGCAACTTCTTGCAGCCTGTCAGGAGTTGTACATAAGTTGTTGTGTGTCACGTTATTTATTGAAGAATTGAACAGTTATGCATTTCAACAATTTTGATGGATTAGGGCTAGAATCGGGAGCCAGTCCCACAGACAGGAATGACAATGTCATATAATGTCCCAATCACCACGCTGTGCATGATTTTTTAACATTTATTTGGATGTGTGTCTGCTTTGTGCTGCATCTAACTTAGTTGGACGTTCAACGCCAATTGGCTCTTACTGACACAACGCCGCCGCCGAAGAACAAGAAGAAAATACATTTGAAAAACAACTGATGGTCTTAAAAAAATTGTGGTGATGAACTGTAATATGAAGGCTGATTAAAATAATGATGACGGTTGAAGGACTAACGATTACAGTTTTGGTTCAGCTTGAAATAATCTTGGACTGCTGATCATGGTTGGGTGGCCCGACTGCTGGCGAATGACGGACCGGTAACGTTTACTGACACACCCACCTCTGCAAACTACAGCGATGTATTGTGAGTGTGTGTGTGTTTGTGTGTGTATATGTATATATGTATATATATCACCTTTTTCTTTGTTCTGATTTCGAGCAACTCTTGGGAATCAGGTAAACTTGATGAGAAACGCTGAGGGTTTTTCAAGATCTTCTTGTCAGCTGAAAGAAACAATGTGAAGTACAATTAAGTTTTAGTTGACCTTTTTCTTTTTATATCATAAAAACCATGCAGGTCTCTAGCCTTACTGGTGTCACACTCTCCTTGATCCTCTCTACACAATTTCATCTTTTCTGCCATCAGATTTCCACTGGTTGGTGGGCATCCTGGACCACGATCCACGAGAGGAAAACTCAAGCCATTTGTACTGCCTTCTTGAATAAGATCTGAGAAACGTGTGGTTAAAAAATATAATCAATTAACGTGTACACAAAATGTTGAGATAATGAGGCAAATAAATAAATAAATAAACCCGCACTTGTTAGATCCCCAAAAAGATTCACACAATGAAATATTGGGATAGTTTACCAGTTGTAGCATCGATTCCATTTTTCATCACATTTTCTTCCTCCACTGGCAGTTTTTCTGACTGGTCTTTGCGAGCGGTGTTGTCTAGCACTTTGGCTTGGCAGTTAGCCTCAGTGCTGTCAATCACAGTTAGTAGAGCTTCGAGTGACAGCAGGTGAGTGGTGTAGAGCTGCCCTGATACAGGGAATGCATTCTGAAGCAATTGAAGAAAAGAAGAAAAAAAAAAGTTTGAATTAATCCATCCTTAAATGTATCAATGTGTCTCCTTCAAGGGGAAGCTACCTTTGACAGCAGCTTGGTAAGGTCTTCAAAGAGATTTGAGCAGTAGAAGTCACAGTCATAGTTGATGTACAGCTCAGTAACAAAGCTGGGGATCCTCCACAGCTGAACCAGTGCCTCCAGAGCCATTTCCTTCATTTCATAGGGCAGCTTCATATTCTCTGATGTGATTATGTCCATCAGTTTCTTCAGATACATCTGTCAGGTGGAAGCATATTTTGTGATGATTATGAAGTCTTAAGGAAGATTGTACATGACGAATAAAGAATACTGACATTACCTCCAGCTGAAATTTAAGATGCACTCTCATGCTTTCAAAGAGAAAGAAGCACACTCGTAACGACAAAGCATAGAGGTTCATACGGTCCATGCTTAGCAGCTAAAAGAAAGAAAGGACAAAAAAATAGTTATGTTATTCACCCTCATCTGGACCACTTTCCAAAGTATTACATTTCGCTTTCCACTTGTCATTATAATTTGGTACTTTTCTTAAATTTTACGTATTTAATTTTCAAGTTTTTGGAACTGAAACACAACTACTAAATGTTGTTATGCTGAGAAAAAGTGTTCACATTATATTAGGCAAACATTGATTCCAATTTAAGCTGTTATAACATCATTCTTCAATCTATATTAGGCAAACATTCCCTAAAATGTAAAGGGTGCATTAAATTCACATTTTGAATCTGTAATGACTTGCACAAATCGGATTCTATTAAAAAAATTAAGCCAATGTCACATTATTTGATTTTTTTCCACTTCCAACAGGTTGTATTACCCTCGATCAGGGGTCACCAACATCACCACGTGAAATACGAAAGAAATACTCATATGAGGGGTGGGAGCACAGTATTGTCTTTTGTAAATAAAAGTAGTGACAAAGAAATAGGAAGGATATCATTTTATTGTCTGTTCGTAGTGGCTGGTGCAGCGCAAGGTATCATGGTCGATGTAGTTCACAATGCTGTGTTCAGCTGATAACACAATCAACACTTAATATTGAGCCACAAACTTGCTATGTTATTTCACACACGCATTGTGAATCAAGTCTTTTGTGGAGCAACTCAAATGTTTTATGCTCCCCTCCACATGGTGATTAGCGTGGGTCTTAAATGAATTTCAACGTAAACTGCATTGATAAACTGACCACCAGAGTGTGCTGGAATGCACGCATGGAAAATTATGTGGTCTATTTAAGTGTTTTTCAAACCCTTACATTGTCAAGTGTGCCGCGGTAAAATATCCAATTTGTATGCCTGTGCTGTCTATCGCCCAGAAGGTAATCGTTTAGTACCCTCCCATACCGCTAGAGAGCAGCAACAGCTAGCCAATTGCCTTGTGTTTCGACCACTAGAGACAAGCGAATTTGTGCCGCATGAATTCAGGACGACAGTGAAACAATAAATATGACCTATTCGAAAATACTTTTTCCTTTGTGCTCATTTAATTCCAATTTAAGCTGTTATAACATCATTCTTCAATGTTAAAAACGGTGATAGTAACAGTATAACACGTTGTTAAAATAAGCGTTTTTTTTTTCACATTTCAGCTAGTGGTGTGCCGCGAGATTTTTTTCAATGAAAGAAGTGTGCCTTGGCTCAAAAAAGTTTGAAAAACACTGGTCTATTTAAGAGAATTGGTGCTTTTAATTCCAAGACATGACGATATTGTGGCAATTAAAATGTTATAATATTGCAATACTGCTGTTTTCATTACATCGTGAGTTAATATATATATGTAAATCTGTACCACGAGGCATTAAATATCATACTGGAATGAAAGTACACCTTTTTGCAATCCCTAGGTACCAGGTAAACATCTGTACTACGTGATGAAACCCCCCCATGATTTTGCATCATTTTTTGCAAATAAAAAAAATGCATCTTATACTGGAGAAATTATGGTAACAGTGTGCTTTCACTTATTTCTATGTTACACTATTTTTAACCACACACGTGCACATACACACACACACACGCACGCACGCACGCACGCACGCACGCACGCACGCACACACACACACACACACACACAAACACACACACACACACACACGCACAAAGGTAAGTATACCTTAGTTTGAGACTGAGGCTCTACTGTAACATTTAGTGTTAGCACAAAATGTTTTCTGCTAGAAAATTGAAGATGAATAGGAACTTCATCTTTCATCATGACAACCACCCTAAGCAGATATTGAAATCAACTAAGGAATGACTTGACTAGAAAATGATGAAAGTTTTGACATGATCACACCAGAATCCAGACCTGGACCCGACTGAGGATCTGTGGGGTGAGGCGAAGAGTGCTTTTCATCAGACATTCACTCGTCGCAATCTGATTGATATTTGTTTTTTTTTGGAAAGGTGGACAAATATTGCCACATCAAGATGTGCTGCACTGGTGCGACACCGATTTTCTGCTTGTTGTAACTGTTCGATTTCACTCTTATGAAGTTTGTTTTTAAGTCTAGCTGAATCTGTGTCATTAACTGTGGAATAAATATTTTTTTCTTCGAGTTTAACAGCGCAAAAACCTGGCATTTGAACAACAGTGAGTCGACTTTTCATATCCACTGTACTGTTCAATGAATTACATTATTCGGTTCTGATTCTCCTTTACCTGAAAAAGATGTCTACATAGCTCATCTTTGATCAGTCCAAGCAAAGATTGGTAGTTGACAAAGTGTGCAGACTCCAGGGCTACATTCAGCAGTTGCAGGCCCATGTGCATCATCGCATCAGTGTTGTGGCGGTCATGAGGGTTGGTCAATGAGATTAGAAACCGGAAGAGCTCCCTTAGACATGGCAGACCATAGGGAATGAGGGATGCACCTAAAAAGATAACAAAAGTGATGACAGGGCTGGGCAACATGGCAAAAATTAATAAATACAGAAAAAAGGAAGAAATAAAATCAAATAAAAATATTTTAAAAAACACATGATAAAGTTTACAATTACGTCCAAGCTCGCTTCTTATAAAAAATCATTTTTAAACTGCCAGTTTTCAGGCATCTGTATAAATAATCACAATAATAAAAATAAACAAACTGGAGAATACATTATATTAACATATGAAGTGCTACAAATACAAAAACAAATAAGATGAAAACAGCAAAATATCTGGAAAAAAATCAGTAGAAATTGTAGAACAGTGTAGAAAATAAATAAATAAAATGATGAAATTAAAATACACAGAAAAAGTATCTGCCAAATGCCAACCAGCTATGGCTAGCCTTTGCAGACTCAATATAGGCTTGCAGTGTAAAAGAGCCACACAATTTGTTAGAACTGCAGTGAAACATCGGATGTTATTTAATTTTTAATTATTACTTTTTGTAACAGATAAAAGAAAACAAAAACTGAGACAAACAGGACAAATTCCTGCAATATGCTACAGAAAGAGGAAAAGGTCGATGCACACATTCCCATCGTTTGATTGAGGAAATAAGCTCAATCAACATGGGAGACCTGAAATTTGAAGTACTGTATTGCGATCTGTAATCATGTTCACAAAATCCCCCAGCCTTAGACGAGTGTATGACATTCAGAACTGAAATTTCACACTCTATCTTATGACATGGAATTTTCAAACATTAGTGATCACCACCTTTGAAGCTCAAGCTTAAATATGAGAATTTACAAAAATATGTATGCTCTATAACCACTACAGTTGTCATGGAATTCTATTTTTCAGATCAAATGATGTAATGAAAAAACCTGGTACACTTTGTGAAAACTCTTACCATCTCTTTGTGTGGACTGTGTGAATCGGACACCTCGGGGATTGACGTAGTCCATGTCAGGCACAGAGACGTTACTTGAATGTTCTGTAATTGAGTCTTTTTCCTCGAGAACCTCTGGGATGGACTCTACTGATGCTGATTGAGCCGGGCCATCCTCAGACTTCATTAATATGGAAAAAGACATAACATCCTCAGTTTAGTAGTCACGTATTGGCCACGTAGAAAATATGACTGCAGGCTCACCTGTGCATTTGGAGAGCCAGGATCTGTGTCTAGGAGTGGGTTAGCATTGCCAGGCGTAGTTGCAAACAAGCTACACTGATCCAGGTCAGAGAGATCCTCCCGAGAAGTGGCTTTGGAGCAGGAGTCGAGGCCACTGTCTGTCGTTGTGGGACTAGAGACAGAAGATCCAGCACTGTCTGAGGCTGGTAGTGAACACCTTTGCTCCGTTAAGACAACTCCGCCTAAACAGAGGACAAGGACAGCTCAAGGGAAAGATACAATGCTGAGAAGAGTTGATCAGATGAATTTGGAGGCAGGAGCAGTAATATTAGGTAACATTGGGTCATTGGGAAAAAAATAACTTCTTTAAACAAATGCTTGAAACAGCTTACCAGATAGGTTGGTATTACTGAGGTTGGTAGACTGGGTAGGGTCCACCTGTGCAGAGGCACTTCGCACCGTGTGGCGAGGTGGCTTTGGTGAACGTTTCTGCTTTTTCCATTTGGATGACTCATTCATCCCACCTGCACGCATTTTCAACTGAAAAGCAAAAAAAATGCACCATATTCAGAAGGCTTCTCCACAAAAGTTGACAGAAGAAGATCAAGGAAGCTGAGGAAAGGTCTTGATGATTCAAAATGCTTTGCGTAGTGTAAGATTCACAATGCTTTGCATGCTATTTTAGTACCGGTATATTATTTTGTGTACTTAGATTACTTAGTGCTGTTGTAAACTATGGACAACCCCCCCCCCCAAAAAAAAAACAAAAAACAAAAAAAAAACAGGGAAATCACTTCCCCTTGCCCAGAATCCGGTCATCAGGCAATCGGATGATGAGAGCCGTCGGGTAGGTATTTATGAGCTAGAAAAGGCAACATGACTAGTTCATTCTTTCCATGGGCTCACCAATCTTAAGAGGGTCAAGGGGCTCAGGTACAAAGTGAGTTGAGCAATGGATAAAGGCAGGGACCCTTGCAGTCAAATACATGTCCATGACTGCTGGCTCAAGGAATGTGGAACTTCACATCAAGCCTCCAGCTTGGTGGTTGTACTGTATTTTGACATTCACCCTGGGCGACAAGGTAGCATCCCCCTGCCTTTGAGTGTGTGCTTGTGTGTGTGTGTGTGTGTGTGTGTGTGTGTGTGTGTGTGTGTGTGTGTGTGTGTGTGTGTGTCAAGGAGCCTTGACTGTTTGTGTCCATGCAGCCAACACAAGCTTTGCAAGAGAGAAATCCTGCTGTGGACTCCCTGCTAGAGTTCAAATACTTGAGCAATGGCCTGAACGTGTGTGACAAGCACCCCCCCTCCCCCCAATATGAATCTGAGCATGGTTTTGTTATTGAATCTCTTGTTGATTGTGGACTGTCAATGACAAACACCGTGTCCAAGCATAAGTGTGTCCATATGTGTACTTTGGCACCAGAATTCACGAACATGAACGATCAACTTTGTGGTGTCATCGGACTTGAACATCTTGGGACACTATGGTGAACAAAGCGGTAGCATTTTTAACTGTCTACCATCCGGTAGTAGTGCTTATGCTCCGATAATGGGGTAGGAAACTAGTGAGGCCTGGCATCCATGATTGGATGGACGGAGAAACAGAATGACTAGACCATTTATGCATTTTTATCCAGTTACATGTGTCATGCACTTGTATCTTTGTCTGTCTGGTGCAAAAACCTTTGTTCTGTTACCATTTCTGAAATATAACAAAATAATAGTCAGGCTTTGTTTGCATAGTCAACCAAAACCCTGTCGCCTTAATATGATTTAACATGTAGTCAAGTTAATACAAACGGTTAAATACAAGTGTAAATAATTGAAATGTTGGCAAGGTAATTTGCAAGCTTAAAAAAAGAGTAATTAGGGTTGTTCACACGGCACACATTTGCATCAGCGCTGCACCGATGTATTTTGTTGCGATATACAGTATCTTACGCCAGTGTAAATTTTGTTGAGCGTTCACACATAGAAAGCTGCTTACTAAAGAGAAGCGTGTTAACCTCGGTGCAGCCCCACTTGCGTTCACACGGCAGTTTCTGCAGCCGTGCAATACGATAGTAATATAATAAGTATATATAATAAGTAACAATATGGAAATAAAACATGCTTATGCATTACAGTGTACTTATCAGGGCTGACGTTTCATCGTTGCCCCAGTTCACTCCCCTGTGTTCATTTCTATTGCACGTGTTGTTGTTAGTCGCCATGGAAGAGCAATATACCAGGATGCAATTTATGCAATACCCGTATGTAATCAACTCTTCTCACGCGTAGCGAGTCTACCCCTGTAGCGTTAACACCTCCCATATTATATCGGTGCTGCCCCGCAAACTATCATTTACGCCGGGGTAAATTTTTAAACCACCTCCTGAGCAGGGTTAAATAATTTGCTCCGGTTTAAACTGTTTTCAGGGGCTACACCGGTATAACTTTGTACGTGTCAATGCTCTACGGGGGCCTACACCGGAGTAAAAGATGCCATGTGAACACCCCTATTGCCTTTGGAAATGGTTTAAAGTGTATTGAACATTTTTAACGTACTGAGTGCAATAGCCCGCATTGTTGCTCATTGGCTATTAAGTAAGGTGTGAAAATGTGTGCACAAACTTTCTTTTAAGTGAGCTAATTCTAGTTTTTCGGCATGAGTTACATGGACTTTTGTGATCCTGTCCAAATTGCCTTGATTACCCCATTAATTCTGGTCCCTCAAAAAAAATGTGAGGCACGTTGTGAAACGTTTGACTTTCTCCACCATTCCCTGTTTTAGATGAAAATAAACTTAAATAAAAGCTATAAGTCTGCAATTAGAGCACATTTTGTTGGTTTAATTTCAAATTCACTGTAGGGATTTTTAAGAGTTAAAAATATGAAAACTGCCTTGATATGAATATATTTATGGATCTGGCTGCATATTCCATCATTTTTAATACAGTTAGATAAGCAAGTGTCATCTGAAACAGCATAACTCTTGGAAACAAATTGGGGTCAGTACTATCTTAAAACGGAGAGAGAAAATAGTTTCAGCAGAGAGACTTTCCAGACTTAACATTTAAGGTCATTTTTCTTACCTGCACTCGTTTGTTTTTCCATAAGATATTGTAAGCCTCAGAAGAGAAGGGGAGTAGGCAGGTGCCCGTGATTAGTGATAGGAACCATGTCAGCAGTGAGACCAACACAAAAGACATGCAGACAATTTATTTATCTACAGTCCATCCAGAAAGTATTCCGTGCATCACTTCTTTAGCTTTAAGTTATGTTTGAGCCTTCTTCCAAATTTGAAGTAATTCATTTTCCTGGAAATACTACACAAAAAAACCCCAAACCGAAACACATTTTTTGTTGCTATTTTTTTCAAATGTATTAAAAAAAAAAAAAAGTACATATTTACAGCCTTTGCCATGGAGCTGAAAAGAGAAGTTGGATATTTCCTGTTACGAAAAGTTATAGTCCATCTGTCAGTTTAGTTCAATGCTTCTCAATTATTTTCTGTCATGCCCCCCCAGGAAAAAGAAAACATCTCGCCCCCCCCCGCGCGACTATAAATTATTTAGTATCATTTGACAAAAAAATTGTTACAAGTAAATCTTTGCATAACACTGTATCCTTATAAAGGTATAAGAGAATAAAAAAGAAATATGGACCAACTTACAACAAAGAATAGCTTTAGTAACTGTAACAGAAAAGATTTTAAGTGTATCTGAAATTCAAAAATAAAATTAAATCTGAACTACAAAAAATTTTTGACTGACCATGTCAAACCACATAACACTGAAAAATAAATGACATCAAATCAATAAATAATAATGCATTCAAACTGATCACCAACATTAATTCAGGAGCACAATATGAAAAAAACCTTTAATCTGCAAAAAAAAAAATATATATATAAAATCATTTGTGATGATTTTTTTTAAAAATCAAAGATGATGTCTGGATTAATGGCTACAGTAGCAGGCACAAAGTGGGATGATTGTTGGCAATATTCGGCACGTTTTCGCTGAAAAAAACGCAAGCGGCTTATCAGCGTGATTGGGGTGTAAAAACTACAAAAAATTTTTCACTGACCATGTCAAACCATATAAGACTGAAAAATAAATGACATCAAATCAATAAATAATAATGCATTCAAACTGATCACCAACATTAATTCAGGAGCACAATACGAAAAAAACCTTTAATCTGCAAAAAAAAAAAAATGTATAAAATCATTTGTGATGATTTTTTTTTAAAAATCAAAGATGATGTCTGGATTAATGGCTACAAGTAGCAGGCACAAAGTGGGATGATTGTTGGCAATATTCGGCACGTTTTCGCTGAAAAAAACGCAAGCGGCTTATCAGCGTGATTGGGGTGTAATGTCTTAATTTATTTGGCTTCATGCTGTCCGCTGCCAACATTTTTGGACACAGTTGGTATACTGGTCTTTCCTCCACTACCACCGTAGTCACAGTGAAGCCAAGCGCTCCATTCGCTTCGTCATATTTCCTCGTTTTAGCTTTCAGGAGACCTCTTTATCTCCGTCTCTCTCCGGCTGTCGACTTCGTGTCTGCACTTCTTACTCATACTCTATGCTGTGTGCAAAGCGCACATGCTCAGTGCAAACAAAACACCAAACGAATGCTCCCTGTGCACACTCTGCCAATGAGAGTGTCACTGCCCTTTAATGTAGTGGAGGTGCAATTGCACTTTATTCTTGGACAGTAAAAAAAAAAAAAAAAA